TGGGGGGCTTACAGGGGGATTTTCTTTTTATCGGTTGTTCTATTTTTTCCAAATTTTCCCCTATCATCGTATATCAATGCTTTCAAATGTTTTCAAAAAGTTATTTTTAGCATGTGCTGCATGCTCTGTGCGGAAAGGTGACCCTCAGCTGTTCTAATGCTGTGACTTTGCCTCAGTCCAGGACCTGTGCGCGGCCGAGGACCACGGCTGCGAGCAGCTCTGTGTGAACCTGCTGGGCTCCTTCGTCTGCCAGTGCTACAGCGGCTACTCCCTGGCCGAGGACGGGAAAAGGTGTGTGGGTGAGTATCCCCTGCAGCCTGGAGTGAGGAGGAAGGACTAGCCTGCATAGTAAGCAGGAGGGGGAGGCCCCCCCCCCCCCCACATACCCAGTCGCTCTCCTGTGAGTTTTGGCAAAGTGCTCAGTCCTCTGGTCTCATGGTTAGAATTGGAACTTTAAAGACTTCATTCATGCCTGAAGTTGGCCTTTTCTCATTCCGGATGCTCAGCAAAAGACAGGTTTAGGATAATCTGTGTATGATGATCTGTGTAAATATCGCTGTCTGTTACGGCAACCCTTGGAAAGGACTGGGCGGACTTTCATCCAGGGAAAATGGGTGGGCATTTGGGATGGCCCGACTTAGACATAGCTCATGTGTCATGTGCGTGAAGGTCACCCGGTGGCGTGCTGCCTTGCGGAGTGGCACCTCAAAGACATGGGCAGCCTTCTGCCTAAGTGCTAGACCTGCGCTCAGGGCAGGTCAGGCGACTGCCAGGTGCAGGAGCCCAGCAATGGGTAATAGGACACCAGGGCCAGGGAAAACAACAAGTAGCCTCAAACAGAAGCCCCAGCCACGGAGTGTCAAGGGCAGTGCGTGGAACTTGCAATCAGTTGAGCAGTGTCCCACATGGTGACCCCACAGCCGGGTGAGAGGGCGGAGAGGTGGGGTGGCACCTGATTTCTTCAGTGATGGACACTGGTTCCCTCCAGCACCTGCAGAGCAGCTGGCAAATCCCCAATGGCACCTCCCAGTTTGTCTGCAAAGCCCTTTAAACTTGCACAGCCTCATCCTTCCATGAACGAACACTGCCTGGCAAATAGTAGGCGTTAAATAAAGTGAACTGAAAACTTAGGAGGCAGAAAATCTGAAGGAAACCACAGGTATCAGAATGGGAACCTACATTTTCTGACTCTACTAGTAAATCCTGCATTTTCTCCTTCATATCCTATTGTGTCTTGCTCCCCACAAAACAATGAACGGTTTTTGTTTTGCACATAGAATTTACATCTTCCAGCTACCTTGATCTTAGGTAAGGATGTGGAAGGAAAAAGCAACAAAACATGAAGTAGAGGCGATGGCATGCTCTTTGCAGGGGAGGGGTGAGCATCGGGGTTTGTTTGTTGCGCCAAACTGATGGGCTGAAAGCCTCCTCATTAGAGGGCCACAGGCGGAATCGGTCTCCTGGGCATTAGAGTTGATGTTTTTCTTAATCTGCTGGTGGTGACCATGCTAGGTGGCAGGGTACCACGTCCACTAACACTGGCAAAAAAAGACAACATAGTGCCCTGACTTGTTTGGCTCAGTGGATAGAGCATCGGCCTGCGGACTGAAGGGTCCCAGGTTTGATTCTGGTCAAGGGCATGTACCTTGGCTGCAGGCACATCCCCAGTAGGAGGTGTGCAGGAGGCAGCTGATCGATGTTTCTCTCTCATTGATATTCCTAACTCTCTATCCCTCTCCCTTCCTCTCTGTAAAAAAACAATAAAATATATATTTTTTTAAAAAGACAACATAGTAAGCACCAACTCTTATGATGTTTGCTTCATTAATGTTTATCATGCAAGTAACGTACTTTTGTCGAGGAGCTTAAACAGATGAGAAAATCACTAATAGCTTGTTGTATTTTTTTGCCAGACTTTGTCCTATATAAGTATCCACCTCAAGACATTTTTGTTAATGTTTAACAAAATGAGGTCACGCTATCTTTCTCCCTTACCGGTTGTTAAATGAGTAGAAGCTTTGGGTGCTACAGGGTAGAAGGAAACCAGGCCATGGGGAATAAAACCAGGAAACAGACTGAGGGTGTCTGGTAGAGGAGGGGGAGGGGAGGGACAGGGCGAGTCAGAGCCTGTGAGGGTGACAGTGAGTAGACAGAACGGGCAGTGAGGGCCACACCGGGGTAGGGGGTCTGCCTTGGCCCTTGGGAAACTGGAGGGCAGTGAGGAGCCCAGTCCTCTGAGTGTGGCCAGATAGTTGCCTAATTGTCCCTTGTAGTAGAGAACCTTTGTGTGTCTGAGGGTTTTGCTATAACTTCTGGAATTTGACATTTATTGAAGAGCATTAGGCATGAAAGTAGATGCGTGGTTGCCAGGGAGCTGTTGTGGGCCGTGTTTATTAGAGATGGCATTTCTCTCGCTGCTGGTATCAGCATTTAAGAATGTCTGCCTTTCCTCAGAGGGGCAGTCCAAGCAGAAGGGTGGGAAAAGGGGAGGGACCATGTGCGACTCAGGTCTTATCGTCCATCAGGTGTTCCTGTCATCCTCCTCCTCAACCAAGAGCCAGACCTGTTAGAGGCTGGGAGTGAGATGATTAAGCAATAATGGGCCTTCTTTGCCAGTGACCTTGGTTAGAGAGACTGAACTAATTCTCAGAAGGTCGGTTGCTGCTCAGTGGGGCTGTGCTGAGCCCAAAAAAAATGAGAGAGGTAATGGGGGCTACAGAAGGGACATCGAATGGCTGGGGTGGGGAAGATCCGGGCAAGGAAGGAAGGGTAGCAATTGGACAGATGTCCGAGGAAGAGGAGACAGGAAGGACAGTGATGGTGTGGAGGTGGCAGTGCTCTCAAAGTTTGGGGGCTGAGGCTGCGCTAGGAGGGGCAAACCTTGAGCTGGTGGATCAGGAAGAGGCTCACGGGGAGTAGGCCATATTGAAAGCTACACAGGCAGCCCAGCCCGAGAATATCAGTCTGAAGGGGCTGGTCAAGTTGGAGACTCCCAGCGCTCCGACTTAGAGCTGGAGATTGAGAGGAGAACAAAGGCTGGGAGGGACCCTGGAATAATCCCGTCAGCAGCTGGCCGGGGTGGCCTGTATGTAGATGGGCAAGGAACGTTAAGAATGTGGTGACCATAAATCCCAGCTAACCCAGGACGAGCCCAGTGCGTGCCTGTTGGCTCAGTTCTCAGTCGCACGCCCTTTCACTTCCCGATGGGTTCCAGATTGACAATAAATTATATGATCGCGCTAGTTAAGGCTCCTAAGCTTGACTTACACAGTTGAGACCAGCTCTGTTGAAGCAGAGCATTCCTGCAGGTGTGAGGTAGGTTAAGATACCAGGGGCAACCAGACTGTTCAGAGCTTTGAAAATCACAGAAAGAGTATGGACTTCCCCTCTGAGAAACAGCTACTGAAGGACTTGTGTTTGGGAGTGACAAAGGCAAAGCCTCCTCTTAGGAAACTTAACCTTGTGGTGAACTGCAGCATGGGTTCCAGGAGGAAGGTGGTGAGGGGTGGGAAGACCATGGGAGTCTATGGTCACGATCAGGTGAGAGGGGACAAGAGCCAGAGTTTGAGTAGCGACTGGAGGAATGGAGAGGGACGGAGTTAAGGATGAAAGAAGATGCTATAAATAAAAGGGGGGAAGAAGAGTCACTAGTGACTGCTGAGATGGAGCTTCCATGACTCTGAGTGATGACGACAGTGATGGAAAAGTGATGGGAACAGATTTTTAGAAAAGATAATGAGTCGTTTCGACAAGGTGAGTCTGAGGTTGAGGTGGGTCACCAGTAGGGACATGTCAAGAGGGGAGCAGAAAACTCGTACGATGGGGAGAGGTTAGAACCAGGACACAGTCAGGAAGCGGCATAGCCCATTTCTTCCTAAATGTTCATTTCTGTCTGTTTTTCATTTTGAATGTTTATGTGGTTTTGTTTGTTTTGAAGGCATCTGGACCTTCAATACAGTAAGACTTGGACTCACATCCAGTCCTGCTATTGCTAGTCATGTGTCTTTGCAGAAATCGTTTAACTTCTGCAGGTTTTTTTTTCATCCATAATGTAGAGTAAGACAATTTATTACTACTCCTACTTCTACCAACACTACTTCCTGGGTATCTGAAGTGTGGAGTGAGGGAGAGTGAGGGTCTGAGTCTTGGGTTGTAGCCACATGTAGGGAGTCTAATAACTATCTGTCCCTGTCAAACTGTACCTTTTTCAAAGCCCATTTTTGAGGGTGAATTTTCTGCTGTATGTGCTCACACCTGGTCGTTACTGACAGCCTTGTCTTTCAGGGTAACTTTGATCCTATTTTCTATCCTCTCTGAGCAAGCAGATTGTAAACCCTTGAAGCCAGAGGCCACTGCCCTTTTCATCTTTCAAAGAGTGGACTTGCCATACATTTTCTTTTTTGAATCATTGGCTATGATTGAGTGATGGATTGCAAATGAATTGGTTCCACCATTTCTCTAAATGACGAGTTTGGTTTCTCTTACTCTGTCAACAGACTTTGAAACCCAAATGCTCCTCTCTAAAATACCCTGCTTCTGCCAGTTGCTAACCCCTTGCAGACTGATCCCTGCTGAGGAAACTTGGGAATGTGACCAGATTGTAAATCAGAGGCTGTCAATCTTAGGCTGTATTTTCTTGCACCAAAGTATTATCCTTAAAGACAGCGGACAGATTTCCCTCATAGGCGGCTGAGACTGACCACGCTGAGACGGCTTTGACCTTGAGATCTTAGCAGTCTGTGATCGGGAGGGCCAAAGAGCTATAGCCAGGGAATTATAGTAGTTACCCCATAGCCATGGTTTCACTTTCCATGGGTTCAGTTACCCACAGTCAGCCATGGTCTGAAAATATTAAATGGAATGTTTCAGAAATAAACAATTGATAATTTTTTTAAATTACTTTTATGGGGGTGACATTGGTTCACAATTCATAAGTTTTCAATTGCATGCCATTCTGCCCAGCTGGTGTGGCTCAGTTGGTTGAGAGTCATCCCATGTACCACGAGGTCAGCGGTTCAATTCTCAGTCAGGGCACATGCCCAGGGTTTGGACTCGATCCCCAGTAGGGGGTATGCAGGAGGCAGCCCATAGATGTTTCTATCTCTTTCTTCCTCTCCCTTTCTCACTCCCTAAAACCAATAAAAAAAACACATATTTTTAAAAAACTGCATGCCATTCTGAGTAGCGTGGTAAAACCTTGAGCCATCGAATTCTTTTCTGCTAGGCCATGAATCGTCCCTTTGCTCAGCATATCCATGCTAGATAATCTGCCCTGCGCATTAGTCACTTGTAGCCATATTGTCAGAAGGTCAGTTGTATCCTAATGAAGTGTCAGTGCCTGCGTCATTCACCTCACTTCATCTCATATGTAGGTATTGTATCATATGACCACATCTCTAGAGTATAGTGCAGTAACTTTTATTACAGTATATTATTATAATTATTCTATTTGGTTATTAGTTATTGCTGTTAGTTTCTTACTGTGCCTAATTTATAAATTAAATGTTATCACCGGTATGTATGTATAGGAGAAAACAGAATATGTGGGGTTCAGTACTATCTGCGGTTTCAAGCATCCGCTGGGAGTCTTGGAATGTACCCCCTGTGGATAAGGGGGACGGCTGTACTCTTTCTGTTTGCAAAGGGGAGAGTAGAAATTTCAGACAAAATGACCAAGAAAGGATGTTGTTGAAATAGATGAGGACTTGGAATAGCAGAGGCATCGCTGGGTTATACACATAAATCACCTTCTTTCATCTGCCCCTTAAGCTGGGCCTCTCTTTTCAATTTTGCAATCAAGGAAGTTATGCAAAGAACCCAAACGTGCATCCAAGGATGTCAGGGTTGAATGGGCTGGAACGCTCTTGGCCTTAAAAAGCTTTTAGGTTCACATGCCTGGAAGTTGGCTCCTCCATGTTTAACGCTGGTCTCATCTGCTGTCCCCAGAGGGTGGCCTTCAGGTCAGGGGGGATTTGACACCTTGGGTTTTTTCTAGGACAGGTCTCAGGACCCAGCAATGCCTGAATCCTGTCTCTCCCTCTCCTTTCCTCTCTCTCTAAAACCAATAAAAAACATATTTTTTAAAAAATCGTGAGTAGTGTAATAAAACCTTGAGCCATCGAATTCTTTTCTGCCAGGCCATGAATCGAACCGGTGACCTTTTGGTGCACTGGAGGATGCTCAACCAACTGAGCCACACCGGCCAGGGTGCCACCGTTGATTTTAGCTTAGCCTTAATTTTTCAGTTTAGTAGATATAAGTGTGCCTTGTGATTGTTTTGGTTTGCATTTCTTTATGTGTCCTTTAGTTTATCTTCTGGTGTAAGTTGCCTGATCTAGGCCCCTGGTGTTTATGTTTGCGGGAGGGAGGCCTTCGGTTCATGTTTATTTACTCACACTCTTTTGGGGGCAACAATATTAATCCCTATTTCTGTTTCTTGTAAGTCAGCTTCCATTCTACCATCCACTTCACCCCAGTTCGTGCTTCTACTTCAACTCTGTGTTTTCGTCTTTACAGCTGTGGACTACTGCGCCTCGGAAAACCACGGATGCGAGCACGAGTGTGTGAACGCTGATGGCTCCTACTCTTGCCGGTGCCCTAGAGGATTTTCTCTTAATCCAGATAAAAAAACGTGCACGAGTAAGTCGCAGACAACAGCCAAAAAACGTTTTGGGCTGGGCACTGTGTCCATGGAAACCTCCCAAACACAGAGAAGCGTGGGATTCTGTGCAGAGGGGTGCCATCCCGTCTGCCGCCGTTCCTCCTGTCAGGCCTTTCCTAACTCGTCCTAAGACGGTCGCCCACGCTATCTCAGTGTCACCCTCCCAGGCACCTAATGAAGGTGTCCTTCTCAGAGACCACACGCGGGGGTGTTCTTTCAGCCTCTGCCGAGCGAGCGTGGGGACAGTCAGACTCTGACTTCGCGCTGACGCAGCCTGGCCGTGCCCGTCCGTGTCAATGGGCTTACGAAATCCTTTCATTGACGCTTTGTGGCTTGTGGGCCTCAGCTCCGACCCCACATGAGTTCAGGACGATCGCTGAGCCAGAAGGAGTTGCATGTGGTTGTCCTGGGTCGGGGAGGGTGGCTGCAGGGAATGAATGGCTCATTTTTTGTCTTAGCGACATAGTTCTATTTGATTTGAACTAAACACACACAAATCAGAATTACGTTGAATCTCCAAAAATCTGACCATAAAGATCTATAAGCTAAAGGTGATCACGAGTTTACAAGAGAATTCCAAAAGTGTTCTTTTAAATGCAAAGGTATGTCACAACATGTAAGTGATCATGTGGTGCGTTATTAAACTCCCATAGAGAGGTTCACATGAGAGAAGCTTATTCCTAAAATAGTAGGGCCCAGCATTGGTTGGTTTGTTTGTTTTTAAAAATAGGTTTTTATTGATTTCAGAGAGAGGAAGGGAGAGGGAGAGAGAGATAGAAACATCAATGATGAAAGAGAACCATTGATCGGCTGCCTCCTGCACGCCCCCTACTGGGGATCGAGCCTGAAACCCAGGCGTGTGTCCTGACTGGGAATCGAACTGTGACCTCCTGGTTCATGGGTCAGCACTCAACCACTGAGCCACACCAGATGGGCCCCAGCATTTTTAAAATGTGTAGTTTAATAGCAATTTAAAATAAGTCATCTCTCAAACAAACATCAATGAGAAAGTAGGATTTCAATTTACAAAAAATTCATGTATTCATAATCTTTCTAAAATACCTCTATTATGTATTTTAGCACATACTGCATAGTTTTTTTTAAAAACATCCCCCTCAAACTCCTGAAGCATAAGCTTGCTTGCCAATCTCTACATATCAACAGCTTACAAGCAGCGGAGCTGGAAGGAGGGGTGGAGTATGGAACTGTAAGGGACACAGTACGTCAAAACATACATTTCTGGATTCCCAGCCATGTGCCAATAGCAATGAATAAGGCCAGGAGCTGGGGGCAGCCAGGAGGAGGAAGATGTGCAAAGATCTGAGCCCGACAGGCTCATAGCCACACCCAGCACGTCACGGAGAGAACAAGTAAATGAGTGAATGGACTGTTCCCGGTCTCCCTTCTTTCTGAAGATCCTGAACTATAAGCCAGCAGCCTGCCCTGTGGTAATGGCTTGGGAATTGTGGTTGCTGGTCTGATGAGTCAGTTCTCTCCTTCAAAGGGGCAGCCTCGGCCTCAGTTCACATCCCAGCTCCTCTGCTTTTTCCCTGGGTGACGTTGGGCTAGGTCTTTATGCCTCAGTTTCCTCCCTGTAATAGGGGATGATAATATTGCTCATTTCCTAGCATTGTCTTGAAGACGAAATGAGCTCATCCGTATCAGCCCTTTGGCCAGTTGCCTGGTGCCGAGCAAATTCTTTTAAGGGATGATACTGGCTTCAGAGACTTTAAATCGGTATTTATTGAGCATCTACCAGGAGCCTGAGCTAAGTTATTAGCACAAGTATGTTAAAACGGATGATTCCTATTGTTGTCCCAAACAGTGCATAAAAAATTCAAGACTTGGCCCCAGGCTTCCCCTGAAAGCTGGTTGGGGACACAGCACACGGAGCAGCTCGGTCACCACACGAAGTGTTATATGACCGAGGGCTGACCGTGTGGGGCACACAAACCCCCAACAGGAGTTAAGGGAAGGAGGGGACCAGCTGGGCTGGCACAGGTGGGGAGGCTGCAGCCGCCCCGGGACCAGGCCTGGAGGGAAGCACATCTATCCAGCCTCCTTCCTGCCTGGACAGAGTTCCTTCCCCGGCTGGGTCACCTCATTGCCTCCTCCAGCCCCAACCCCAGGGCCTCACCATCACCCCCACACTGAGGCCCCACGTGTCTCCTGTCCCAGAATCTCTGGGGACGTGGAGAATTACACGCCCTGAGATGGTGCAGGCCTAGAGACCCTGGAAGTAGATAGTGCAGTGCAGGGGGCTGGAGAGGAGGTCTGGCTGGGAGGCAGGGGAGCGGCTGCTACAGCTGTGAAGTCCACCACCGAGGCGTGGAGCCCTCCCGTTCAGCAGTCTCGGGCTCAGAGTCAAGACCCAGAAATGGGCCGCCCCAACACGTGGGCAGAGAAGGTGCTGGCACTCAGGGGGGTCTGGCAGGGAGCCGTGTCCCCTAGAAGAAGGGCCCCCCTCCCACCATGTTTGGGGGCAGGGCAGGGAGCCAGGCCTCGGGAGGGGACTGGTAAGAGAAAGGAGACCCCGGAGTCCTTGGAAAGCTGTGAGAGTAAGAAATGGGCGGAGTCCAGTTGTCAGAACCGAGACACTTGACAGATGCTGCCAGGGACGGGAGCAAAAATTGGGAAATGGAGACCAGTTAAAAGGACAGATGGATGGGATTGGAGGTAAAGGCCCAGAATCAAGGCAGGCATCATTTTTTAATATTTAATCCTCAGTGAGGATATTTTTTTCCACTGATTTTTAGACAGTGGAAGGGAGGAAGAGGGGGGGAGAGAAAGAGAGAAACATCAATGTGAGAGAGACACATCAAATGGTTGCCTCCTGCACGCACCTCAACCAGGCCCAGAGATCAAACCTGCAACCCAAGTGTGTGCCCTTAACTGGAATCGAACCCATGACCCTTCGGTGCCCAGGTCAACACTCTAACCCAGTGGTTCTCAACCTTCTGGCCCTTTAAATACAGTTCCTCATGTTGTGACCCAACCATAAAATTATTTTCGTTGCTACTTCATAACTGTAATGTTGCTACTGTTATGAATCATAATGTAAATATCTGATATGCAGGATGGTCTTAGGCGACCCCTGTGAAAGGGTCGTTCGGCCGCCAAAGGGGTCGCGACCCACAGGTTGAGAACCACTGCTCTAACCACTGGGGACATGTCAAGAAAATTCTATTCTATCCATATCCCTAAATATGGAAATTGTTAAGACTGGAAACCCCTTGGTTTTCCTATGCTAGGTTTATTGCTTTTTTAAATTATTATTATTAATATGATGTTTCCTTCTTTCCAGAGATAGACTACTGTGCCTCACCGAATCATGGATGTCAGCACGAGTGTGTGAACACGGATGACTCCTATTCCTGCCGCTGCCTAAAGGGCTTCACCCTGAACCCAGACCAGAAAACCTGCCGAAGTAAGTGCCTGGGTGTTGGCAAAGGGCTCGTCCCGCTAAAAGCTCCGCAAGTTTCCTTTTCCTGGCAGATCTCAAGCAAGACACACGCAGCATTTATGTCTCCCGATATTCTCCGGCCCTTGGTCTTACCGTTGTCTCGCGATCCTGTGATGGGATGGCTTTTAGAGATGGAATAGACAGATCGGCCCATTGGATTCATTTAGCGAGGTCGGGCCCAAGCTGGAGCTCTCGCCTGCCTAAAGTGGGGGTGCACGCTCCCTCCTTCTTACCCCCACAGCATGTATGTGGGACTTTGAGAAAGAAACGACTGGACCCCGAGACAGGAGGTGACAGGAGCTGTTTTCTCCCAGTCCTTCAGGGGAAGGCACTGGTAGCTGCTAAGGGGGCGGACATTGCAACTCTACCCCCTTGGAGATGAAGGAAGGAAAAAAATAAGAGTCCGGGCAGCCCCGTCCCATTCAGGGGTATGTGGTGCCAGCAGGATGATACTAAGGGTGTGCTGAGTGACTCCAGTGCCTGTCAGCTGGCACTTCAAAGGGCCTGCCTGGGGATCTCAGGCATGGACCCCCACGTGGGATCTCTTTTCATCAGACTAGACCAGTGGTTCTCAACCTTCTGGCCCTTTAAATACAGTTCCTCATGTTGTGACCCATCCATAAAATTATTTTCGTTGCTACTTCCTAACTGTAATGTTGCTACTGTGATGAATCGTCATGTAAATATCTGATATGCAGGATGGTCTTAGGCGACCCCTGTGAAAGGGTCATTCGACCGCCAAAGGGGTCGCGACCCACAGGTTGAGAACCGCTGGACTAGACTGTTCCTGAGGGACCACTAGAGTGGAAATTCCACAAGGACAGAGATTCTACCCTTTTCTCATTCTTGAATCCTCAACAACTCGAAGTTTTGGCCCATGGAGGTCTGACACAGTTTATCAAATGAATGAATGAGTCCATGGGTCTCTCTGAGATTCGTCATCCTGGAGAAATTGCAGCTATTATTTGAATGACTCAATCTTGTTGGGAAGATGGCCTTTTTAAGGCATGCACGTTGCGAATGTTTTCAAAAAGTACTCTCGTCAGTCCACACTTAGACACACTGAATAGTTCGCGTTCTCCTGACAGTTGGTGCACAGAACTCCCGGGAACTCCCATGTAGGGGTGTATATTCTCATGTGTTCCTTCTCCCACCTGTTCCTGGTGGTGTATACAGCAGTTCCACACATCACAGGACTGAGCATTCAAAGGTTTGACCGCAGATCTCTTTGGAACAGCACTGGTGACTATATAACTAAACCCAGCCATGCCACATCCTGCTCATAGCCTATATCCGCTTACACACTCACTCTAATGAGCGTTAAACCTGGTACGCTGGCAGGTGGTTGCAGAGCCCATATGTTGAAACCGAGCCTCTCTTATGGAAGATAATTCCCATTGCCTTGCCAGGATGCAAACCCTGGAAACACTCAAGCATTAAACGGGAATTTTAACTGAGAACATACAGAATGTAAAAACAATCGGACGGAATGTTTTCCATTAGACCACACATGCACGCAATGTGGTAGAGGGCCAAGTGTTCTGGCCTGCCCCCACTCTTCTCTGCTATTCACACCTTTTTTTTTTTTTTTAGGGGTAAATGTGTCTATGGCTGACTACGCCCAGGGAAAATCACTTGCAGGTGGACTCATATTTGTGGACCAAAAGCTCTTATGTGGGGGATAATTAGATCTGGTTCCACTCAGGCACTCATTGTGTTCCTGCAAGCTTCTTCGCGTTACTAACGGAGGGGAGAGGGAACAAGCCAGGCATGGGGGTCAGTGGAGGGCATCTGCTTGAAGCTCTGCATCTCATGCCAGTTGTCTGAGATTCCCTCCACCCCGCCACTCCCTCCACATCCTGTCTGGAGAGACACTAGGAATAAGAGTAGGGCCCCAGGCAGTGCACGCATCATTATCAAGAGAGGAGGGAGGCCAGGAACAAGGGGGCAGGGGGCGGGAAGTGACCATCCAAGAGTAGTTTGACCACCAAAAATTGGCCCACAGATGGGCCTGTTTGCGGGCTTTGGCCCAGTCCAGAGTCCCTAATGCTCATTAACATAGTATATTCAGCGATTATAGTTCCATTTCCTCTCTAGCCAGGTGCCCTACTTTTTCATCCAAGAGAAATGGAACTTGTTCCTAAACCCGATGTCCTCATCAGCCCTTCTCCCAGCGTCCTGCCTCATCGCTGCATTTTCCAGTGTCTTTGCTGCAGACCCAGCCCTCGGGTCCTGAGGTCAGCCTCTTAGAGCTGCCCCTGACTGATGTCCGTGGTGGCATCCCGCTGTTCACGGAAGCGAGCGCTCACTGTCTCTCCGGAGCATGACGTGCAAGAGGGAAGCAAAGAAACTGGCTTTAAAATCTGGAGTTTGTTAGTAGGAGTCTGAGGATCTCAAGAGCATTACAAATCTTGAGCTAAGGGTACAGCCATTTACATTTAATAGGCGGTTAATGGATGTGGGCTATTTTCAAATTTAATAAGAAATCTATTTTTCAAAGGAATTTGATGTCATCCAATTAAACTGGGGGGGAAAATGTTCAAGCAGAATCCCACTGAAGCAAAGACCCTTGGCCAGGACTCATTCTTCTTCCTCATCTGGGCACAATTTCTTTTTCTGAAGAGTGCTGTCAGCGATTTAAGGCATAAATTTATTAAGGCGGCCGTGCAAAGCACAGACTCCAGGACTGGCCTGGCTGTCTAGCTGGGGCCGGGGGTGGAACCGGAAGTGGGTGTGACCCATGTGCTCCAGGGTTGCTTGTGCTGGTACCACCGCTGGTGCGCCCTGTCGCTGGAGACCTGGGGTGGGGTCCACATCTGGACTGAGCTGGGAGGTGTGAGGGCCGGTCTTGGCAGTGTCACGCATACTGGCCATGTGACCTGGGACAGACTGCTTTGTTTTCAGTACCTGGATTTCCTAGACCAAAGGACCCCGACTTCCTGCTTTAACATTTTGTAGCCTAATCTTTTCCAAACTACCTGTGCCACTCAGTTGGCCTTATAATTCCTTCTCTCGGGTCACTGATCTTTCGTGTTTTTATGTCTTACCTCTCAGTGAGGTCTCCAAATCATCAGCGCTGTTTAATTTGTTACCTGACAGTTCTGCCTCACAGGGGCTAACTGGACATTCTCAGCTTTGCCAGATAAAGCTACACCCTAGCTTGGCCCACGTGTAGCACTTCCCAGTTAGTGATGAGACCGAGCCAGATACGGGGTGCATAGTAGCTACTCAATAAAAACTGATTGAATGAATAAATAAGCAAATGAATATTTAAGTAACACACATGTGAAGAAATATGACCCAAGTGTGTAAAGAAGGCAAAGATCTACGGTTAAACCTCTGCTATAAGTAACCACTTGGAGAAGAGTCATTTTTGAATTGCTTTTTGCCAAATATCGGAGTGATAACCTCTTCAGGAATCTAGATGGTTTTTAGTTCATCAACAGGGTGGGGCAATCGCTTCTGCCTGGGGGCTAATTGTTATTCTCAGTCTCTATTGGGCCTTAGAAATTCTGAACCTTGGGGCAAGGTGTTTTCCATTAGGGTCAACTGTCTTCCCCCCAGGCAAAGCTGTCCGTATAGACAGGAAGCAAAGTAGGAAAAAGCACTTCTCTTTATACATCTTTGTCTTTTCAGGAAGGAAAATTTTTCCCAGGGGCCCCCCAATGAACTCCTTATGTCTCATTGGCTAGAACTAGGGCATATCCCCACCCCTAGACCAATCACTGACAAAGGAGAACATGGTTGCTGGGCTGGCTTAGACCAGCCATGATTCATGAGGATCAGGGTTCTAGTCCCAAGAAGACAGGGGAATGGTTGTTGGCAAGGCAACCAGCAGTGTCTGTCACGTCCCCAGAAAAAAGAACCATGCAGTTCAACTGATCCAGCCCAGCCCCTGAGGTTAGTTGTGACCTTCCACGCCAACACAAACCTCATAAAAGCCCTCCACACACTCATCTGATTCCCTTTCACCGTTCTCCATCTCTCCCATGACCAGCTCAGTGTGGGGCCTTGTGGTTTTAGCATTTTCTACCAGGAAAGGAAACTGCTAAATAGCTTGAACAGGGTGAATGTCACTCTAGGACAGTGGTCGGCAAACTCATTAGTCAACAGAGCCAAATATCAACAGTACAACGATTGAAATTTCTTTTGAGAGCCATAAGTTTTTTAAAAATATGTTTTATTGATTTTTTATAGAGAGGAAGGGAGAGGGATAGAGAGTTAGAAACATCGATGAGAGAGAAGCATCGATCAGCTGCCTCCTGCACACCCCCTACTGGAGATGTGCCTGCAACCAAGGTACATGCCCTTGACCGGAATCGAACACGGGACTCTTCAGTCCGCAGGCTGATGCTCTATCCAGTGAGCCAAACCAGCTAGGACAGAGAGCCAAATTTTTTAAACTTAAACTATACAGTGGGGCCTTGACTTACGAGTGTCCCGATTAACGAGTTTTTTAAGATACCAGCTGTCTCTCGGCCGATTTTTTGCTTTGAGTTGACAGAGTAATTTGAGTTAACAAGCTCGGTCTCGGAACGAATTAAACTCATAAGTCAAGGCCCCACTGTATAGGTAGGTACATTGTTATTAACTTAAATAGGGTACTCCTAAGCTGGCCTTTGCTAAAAATGTCCTCAATCTGAGGGGTCGACCTCAGCGAACATACCCCCACTTCTTTTAACGCCACTTCTTCAAAATAGACTCGCCCAGGCTGAAAACTGACTTCTGTGCATGGGCCACGAAGTTTCAATCGCACTGTACGTGCGTGCCTGCATGTGGTATTTTGTGGAAGAGCCACACTCAAGGGGCCAAAGAGCCGCATGTGGCTCGTGAGCCGCAGTTTGCCAACCACTGCTCTAGGACAAAACTGCAACATGGGCGGCGGCATCCGAGATGTCTCTTCTCCAGGTGCTTGATATGGGTGCTGTCCTGGTCTCACTCAGAGCGAGGGTGAGCATGTGGGTCCTTCGTGATGTAACTGCCAGGTCCTGCCTCTGCTAAGTAGCTGGTTATCTTGCAAGATGAGCTTTTGTTTACTCTGCTTTGTGCTGTGCAAGGTCACTGTCAAATGCACTGTGGGTGGCAGCGCCCTCCTTGCTTAGGAGGCCTAGTGATCAGGTCAATTGGAAGAAGAGTCTACTGAGTTTTCTCAGCTTCCCCATCTTTCTTGGACGGGGCGAGGCTGGGGACTGTGGCCCTCAGCCCATTTTTCGGCTCTTCGGCCATCCAAGGGGAAGACCCAGGCTGGAGAGGCCTCTTCAGGTACCAGGTTCTCCTTCGGACAAGCTCTGGAGAGCAGAGCGGTGTTTCCTGTGTCCCCCGGAGCACCTTATTTCTGGAATAGTTCCTGCAAAGGGCTGACCTCACAGCTCTGGGACAGCCCAGAGCCTGACGCAGGATCTGCCTTTTCTCCCCTAGGGATCAACTACTGTGCGCTGAAGAAGCCGGGCTGTGAGCACGAGTGTGTCAACACGGAGGAGGGCTACTACTGCCGCTGCCACCGGGGCTACAACCTGGACCCCAACGGCAAGACCTGCAGCCGTAAGTGTGCCAGGGGCGGGGATGCTGATGGCGGGAAGAGGCCATGCCAGGCCCCTGGGCTCACTGGCAGCCAAAGACTTCTGGAGTTCCTGGGTGTCCCATGGGCCTGATGATCTGACGGACGTAACCTTCCTTGCCTGTTTCATCATCCATAAAATGGGGCTACCTACCTCATAGATTGCATTGTGAGGATTAGAAGAGTCAGTATGTATAAAACACTTAGAAAAGTGCTGCTAGCCATGTAACAAGCACTCAGTAAATATTAGTTAATGTTGTTATTTGCCGTTAAGAGCACCGATGAAGTCAGACCGTCCTGAGGCCAAGTCCACGCTCTCCCGAACTCGGGACCTGTGGCCCAGGGCACATGCTTTAACTTCGCCAGGCTTTGATTTCTCCGTCTGTTTAAGAAAGCGAAGATAATAGTAGGGTTGATCTTCTCGAGTTGTTAGGGCGAATAATCAGGACCCTTTCAATCTCTTAAACTGTGCCTGGCACAAGGAAAACGCACAGTTACAGATAACAGTTCCTGATTGTCATGGAGCCTGGGGGAGGGACGAGTGCCGGCCCCCGCGTGGGACCAGGGGCCGAGGCACAGAGCTCGGGGCGGACTTGGGCTGCCACCGAGCTCATCTGAGGGCGGAGCTGGGAAACATGGGAGTTTGTGGGAAGCCTTTTCTTAATTTTCTTGTGTAAGAAGCGCAACAAAGCTCCATTGGGTGACGTCAACGCACGGAAACTTGCCGGCTTTGCCAGCTGGACGGCTCCGGCCTTTTTTAGGAGGCCCAGTCCGCGTGGTCCAGGCCAGCGGGGGTGGGGGCGCCTGAGCCCCGTGGGAGAGGCCTGTGACCCTGGTGGGAACCCCGGCTGGGAGAGGGGCTTGGTGGCATGGCCCGCACAGAAGGCGCCCTTTGTGTGGCTTTTCACCCAGCGGGCCGCACATCCGCTCCTGCTTCGGGGACAGAGATGGACTGTGAGCGAGAACAGTGCAACTGTTCAGCGTTTGGACCTTACACTGCCGGGAGGGGAAGCCTCACAGATGAAGCATCAGGTCCCGGGCAGCCCTCGCTCACAGATGAAGCAGCAGGTCCCGGGCAGCCCTCGGGGAACCTGTGCCCTCAGCCTTCAGAGGGGACAGAGTGCCTCGAGGAGGCCGGTCTGAGGACGGATCTCAAGGAACTTTGGGACCAGGACCAGAAAGCTGGCCCTGCCATGCCTCTGGGTGTCTCTGAGGGAGGCCTCCCCAGTGGGAGCGGGGAGCAGGAGGTCTTCCCGACAGGGAGATGCCCCGGTGAGGACGGTTTGAGTACTTGCGGCCTTTTTCCAGGAGTGTGGGGTCTGCCGGCTGACAAGACCTGGCAGGAATCCCGGGGCAGGCCGGGCGCAACCTGGCTGAGCCCACCTGGAGCCCCAAGGGCCGTGGCCTGCCTCTCCCTCCCAGCATTCCTTGGGAGACCTGGAAGAGCTCAGAGAAGAGGCCAGAAGAGATTGGGCTGTTTTTTCTCTCTGGAATCTAATAAGAAGGACCACCTAGTCAGCTTGAAGAACGTATAAAGCAACCCATTTCTTCCTCAGAGTCCCCTGCGGAAGCCATGGTATTCCACTCCCCTGGAGGGCTCAGGGAGCCCCAGGCCCTCATGACAACAAGCCCTTACAGGCCTCACTCTGAGCATTTCCAAGGTATTCACTCACCTTATCCTACAACAGCCTTAGGAGGCATCGACATTCTCACTGCTGTCTAAAGATGGGGAAACTATCCCACAAAAAGAGTAAGCAACTTTGTTGGAGTCACATGACTGGTAAATGGTGGAACAAGGATGTGAATACAGGCCGCTGGCTCCTGGGATCCTGCAAATGTTTGCAGGAGGCACATCCACCAGTGGAATGTTCCAGAAGCATCAGTCCCAGGCCCCGTGGGAGTCAAACAGGTCCACTTGCTGGCCCTGCACAAGGCCTCCAGCGTCCTCCAGTCTCTGGGTTTGCATTTTCTCCATCAAGGAAATCAGGAGGCAGCCTGCAGGGCTGTCTGTGGGAGCCGGTCACCCCAGCTGTGTCCAGGGCCTTTGGTGCTCACTGCCCAGCGGGCCAGCTGTGCAGGGCGGGGGCACCAGCTGCCCTTCGAGGAGGCTGTCGAGGGGGGGGGGGGGGGGCAGCAGCAGCCACACATGCAGGCCCGGCTTTGGTTTGTTTTCTGAATCTGGGTGTCCTGGTTGGCGGTGGGGAACCTTTTCCTTTTTCAGATAGAAATGTAACCAGACCATTAATCCCTACTCAGCGCTGCTTAATAAGCATTCAGTCAGCGGCGAGTGCGAGCCTGCTGCTGCTCTGCGGGCCTCACCTGTGTCGGCTCCTCTAAGAGCAGCCCCACCATCCCATTTCGCAGCCGGGGCAGTGGCCCCGCGCCCATGGCTAAGAAGTGGAGGCTGGGATTGGATCCCCAGTAGTTGAAGCCAGAACCCTCATTCATGCCTGGGCCGTGCCCTGTCCGCTGTGTGACCTTCAAGCCTCGCTTTCCTCGAGGTGAGACGGGGCTGCACCTGCCTCCCCATGGCCCTGGGGTCTCAGCTGGTGGTGCCAGCCCTGCACAGAGGGCCGCCGGCACTCCCTGCACAGGAGTGGTACCCGCTCCTATTCTTCAAATTCAAAGAAATGGGAAAACAAACAAGCAAACAAACAGGAAGGCATGACATCCTAGAGGCCTGCGCGCAGATGGAGTAAGTGAAAGGGCTCCCAGGGCTGCCTGCGAGGCGGTCTTGCTGTTCCCGTGTGCCCGCAGGGGTGGACCACTGCGCGGAGCAGGACCACGGCTGCGAGCAGCTGTGTCTGAACACGGAGACGTCCTTCGTGTGCCAGTGCTCGGAGGGCTTCCTCATCAACGAGGACCTCAAGACCTGCTCGCGTGAGTCCCCGCTCCCTGAGGGGCGAGGTTTGCAAAGGGAGTGAGAGTGTGAGGACTGTGGGTGGGTGTGGGGGGCGGCAGCACCTTTCCTCCGCCCTTTGCTCAGGGGGATCAGTGCCCTCTGGGGACCGCCCACCTGGGGGAGGCGGGAGAAAGCCCCGGGGCCGCTGACACCCCTGCCTGTGGCTCCCAGGGGCTGACTACTGCTTGCTGAGCGACCACGGCTGCGAGTACTCCTGCGTCAACACGGACCGATCCTTCGCCTGTCAGTGCCCCGAGGGCCACGTGCTCCGCAGTGACGGGAAGACCTGTGCCAGTGAGTGTCCCTGGGCTGGGGGTCCCTGGGTGATGGGCGAGGCCCGGGGAGGTGCGCTGTGGGACAGGCAGGGCCCGGGCGTCCCTCCCGGGTGGGTTTCCCGGGCAGTCAGTGTGCAGCAGAAAGCCTCTCAGCGCTGAGCCTGGTGCTGTCCCGTCCCCCCCACCCCCAGTATCCTTCTCCAGCCCCAGGAGATGGCTTTACCCATGTCCACAGTTGCGGGGCCCTTTGAGGCTGGGCAGGGCCCTGTTTCTTAGCTCTCACTTCTCTACCCCCGAAATCTGGCTGCAAGAGGTAGCCCGCCCAGCCGGGTGGCTCCAGAGTAATAATAATACCGTGGACGTGGACGTCTGGCTGACTGCTGGCTTCCTGCTGGGCACGGTGCTACACACCGGCCTCACCCATTCCTGCACCCCCAGGAACTCCATCCTGCCTGTGAAACCGCAGCGCAGATTAAGTAAAGAGCCTGAGGTTGCCAGCGGTTCCTAGTGGGTTCAGACTGGTCCGTGTGAGTCCAGTCAGTCCTGGGAGAAGGGGAGACCCCGGGGAAACCTTCCCTCCCGCCACCGCGCTGGTCCGGCTTCAGGCGGTGAGGCTGCATCATGTTTCCTGGGTCCGTAGTCCTTGCAGCTGGTCCCAGCGTCAGCTTCCATTCATTTTAAGAAAGAAAAGCTCCCAGGCCTTTCTCTCAAACATGCTGTTTTCTGCCCTGCAATCCCATTTCCAAGATGAAAACTAAAACTGAAGTCATTTTGAGAGAAGGGACCAGAAACGGAGGCACTTACCTTCCCCATCCTGCTGGTGGCAGAGTCAAGTGTCCGGGCCCCTGATGCAACTGTGGCCGCAACCTTGTTTATCCACCTTTGGACTCGGTACACTCACATGGGCAGGTGAGCCGGCTGCCCAGCGGGGTGTGCCCTGAGTGTGCGGCCTGGGAGAGATGTTGCCCTAGTTTGAGACAGATTCTGAGTCTTGGTACATGGATTCCCCATCTTGGAGCTTTGCTGCCTGTGGCTGCCTGCCCAGCGGCCTCCTGGGCTGCTCCAGCCGGCATGGGAGGGTGCGGGCAGTCGGAGCGCAGAGAGCATGGGTGTGTCGAATTGCATCGACCTCTGACAGGATGCCAAAGCCAGAGGCATGGCTCTTTATTGGTTTGTTTTAATTCCCCATCATCTGAGATGATTCATGCCCTTCCCGGGTCCTCCCTCTGACTGTGGTCACCAAGAACTGACTCCAAGATGCTTGTAGGCCTTCTAAGAAATTCTCATGGTCCTTCCCGACAAAGGCCGCCCCTTTTCCTTAAAATCGCGTGGCCCCTCTCCCTCCCTCCCCACCCGGGTCCACACCTGGGTTAGGCCATGACACTTAGAAATGTTGCCCATTTTCTCATTTAAAGTGTGTTTGTAACTAACGGTACAGTGACACCGTCCATCTGAGAACATGTTCAACAGTGCAGTTAGAAGTGAATGTTCACGTGTGTGTTCATGACTATATGAAAACTAAGGAGATAATCAGAGGGGTTAGATTGTCCTC